TTTAGTAAAGAGGGAGTAGCAATGAGTTCTTTGCTGTGATCACCCTTCACTTACATTTTTAGCTGTTAGAATACTGTTTAGAAGTTATTTCAAAACACAATACATGATAAAGCTGTACATACATAAATAAGAAATTTGCACAGAAGAATAAAGTAACAGATGTTTATTTTGTTAGGGTAATAAATATTAAAAATTTGTTTTCACCAAAAATAAATGTCCCTAAAAATCTATTGAAGGAGAGCAGATTTTGTCACCCCACAATATGTCTCTTTGGCATAAGGAGGATTCTCTTTTTAAGATATTACTCATTATAGAGAGAGTGAGATCACACAGGGATCCTGATGTGGGGCTCGATCCCAGCACCAGGATCATGACCTGAGCTGAAGGCAGAAGCTTAACCTACTGAGCCACCCAGTTGCCCCAGGTATAGGGATTATTTTGAGCTAAAGGCAGTCAAAATTTAGCAGATTGAGGAAACCCTCTTAACTTCCCCCTCAACTGCCTAAATTTACATTGGAAAGGAGGCCTGTACCAGGAAAAGAGCTATTACCAGAGATACTTGTTAACCTAACAAAGTTATCTGCATAACAAGGTAACCTTTATTTTCCAAACAATTCTCTCCTGCCTATAAATGGTTTTCTTTCCCCTTATTCTCCCAGACACTTACCCTTTTCCTTAGATCAGGATGTTATATAAGACTCAATTAACTGGGTGCAGTGTGGGTCTTATATTTTTGAGGCTTCCCTACATATGAAGTTTGTTTGTTTTACTCCTCTTAAACTGTCTCATATCAATTATTGGATCAGCCAAAGACCTTAGAAGGGAAATATTCCCCCCACATACTATTAATACATTTTTTTTAAAGATTTTATTTATTTGACAGAGAGAGACACAGCGAGAGAGGGAACACAAGCAGGGGGAGTGGGAGAGGGAGAAGCAGGCTTCCCGCGGAGCAGGGAGCCCGATGCGGGGCTCGATCCCAGGACCCTGCTGAAGGCAGACGCTGAACGACTGAGCCACCCAGGCGCCCCACTATTAATACATATTTAAGATAAATGTGGACTCTTAATAATATGGTAATATGTAGCAAAAATATATATTCATTATTTAGCATTTTATATATAATATAGAATATGTTTTAAGTCCATGTTTATTAAAGTAAAAATATTTTAAAGTATGTAAATATAAAATATTTTAAATTTAGTACTAACAATAAAAATTGCTTATTATACTATATATAAGCATACTCTGTATACTTTATGTAATAATTTACTCAGTATATTATATAAATTATCTCCACTTTTTTTTTTAGAGAGACATGGGAGGGGAATAGGTAGAGGGAGACAGAGAATCCGAAGCAGGCTCCGCGCCCAGCACGCAGCCCAACGTAGGGATTGAACTCACTACCCTGAGATGATGATTTGAGGGGAAATTAAGAGTCAGACGCTTAACCAACCAAGGCACCCAGTTGCCTCTCCATTAGTTCTTAAAATAACTCTATGAGGTAAGTATTGTTGCCATCCTAATCCCACTCTAGGAGCTCGATCCCAGGACCCTGGGGCCATGACCTGAGCCGAAGGCAGACGCGTAACCATCTGAGCCACCCAGGTGCCCCTAAAATGAAGTTTTTCTAAGTAGAGCTTCGGCTACTAAGCACTTTCGAAAACAATTGAATAATGGGTGACATTAATTACAGGAGTTTACAAAACTATGTTAGGGTCAAGAATTTCAAAGGATGATCTTGTATTTGTTTTTTACAAATAAAATTCAATGTATGCAAAAAATTAACCTGTATTAAATATTATATAAAAACCAAAATTTAAAAACAAAACGAAAAACAAAATTTTTAGTCATTAAAATTAAAAGGCTTAAAAGCAACCAGAAGCACAAAGTTTCTGAATTTAAGTACTTGATTTTTGTAGGGCTTTAATTGTATTCTAATTAATTTATACTTAAGGCAATCGTGATCAGAAGCTCAAGGGGATTTTTTTCCAAACCACGACAATGATTCTAAACTTACACACAAAAAAGGAATCTTGTGAAACTAGATCAGAAACTTTTGAAAAGAAATAATGGGACCTGCAGTGCCAAATTATGACCTGTAATACAACCATAATTTAAAATACTGATGTAATAAAAAGAACAGTGTAAGGGAGGAAAAATAATTTCCCCTCTACCTTTCTAGGTGCTGTGAGCCTCCCCCTTATAATAAAAGACAGATTAACGAGAAAAACCAGCAGCAGTTTAATAACACGTATACGTCCTGTATACATGAGAGATACTCTGAAGAACTGAGTAAAACTCCCAGGAAAGGCCCAAGCCACCGCCTTAAATACCGTCTTCAGCTAAAAGATGTTGGTGTGCGAGCGGAGTGCACAGGGAGCCGGGGATGGGTTACCGGGAAAAGGGAAACAAGGTTGTGATGCAGAATTAAGTTCGGGCCTTCTCCATGGACAAAACTGTCTGGTGATTTAATCATCCTTCTCTTTCTGGTACTGAGAGGGAGACACTTACAGATTGAGATCTCCTTTATAAATGTAACATGTCCCTTAAGACAGAGTTCTACTCTGATTTTAGAGATTCTCCTGTGTCTGGTGTTTCTTAAAAATGACTTGCTCAAAAACAGTCCTTATGCCAAAGAGGCATATTTTGGGGTGGCATATTCTGCTACCCTTCCTACCAAAGTGGCCTGTGTGGAGACGGTTTGTCCTGAACTCCTACACTCCTCTTTTGGGGTGGCATCTGAGGGTTCCCTTCCCAGCTAACAATCATTCCCTTCTGAAGGAGAACGACAGTACTTCGTGGTAAACTAGAAGCCCCTACTCACTTTCTCACAGAAAGAGCTGCAGCTACAAATCCCACGGCGCTCAGGAAAATCCAGAGCTTGCGCGGGAAACCGCCCTGCTCCCTGCCCCACAGTCATTGGAGATCGGCCCGGAGAGGGGCGGAGCCCGGGGTGGGGCAGCGGGGCCGCGGTTCCCGCGCGCGCTTTCAGTTCTCAACGAGGTCCGGCCTCTGCTTATAATTTCTCCTGCCGGAGCAGCAAAGCCATTTCTGTGTCGAACTCGCACAGAGCTTCTGAGGAACCATGTCTGGCCGCGGCAAGGGCGGGAAGGGCCTGGGCAAGGGCGGCGCCAAGCGCCACCGCAAGGTGCTGCGCGACAACATCCAGGGCATCACCAAGCCCGCCATCCGGCGGCTGGCCCGGCGCGGCGGCGTCAAGCGCATCTCCGGCCTCATCTACGAGGAGACCCGCGGGGTGCTCAAGGTGTTCCTGGAGAACGTGATCCGGGACGCCGTCACCTACACGGAGCACGCCAAGCGCAAGACGGTCACGGCCATGGACGTGGTCTACGCGCTCAAGCGCCAGGGCCGCACCCTCTACGGCTTCGGGGGCTGAGACTCACCCAAGCCGTCACATGCAAACAAACAAATGGCCCTTTTCAGGGCTCCCCCCACTTTCACCCGAGGAGCGTGACCCTGGCTTGTTGGCGATCATTGGTCCGCGTGGCCAGGTTTCGCTGCGGGTCACCGTGACCCGCACGCGTCGCTAGTCTTGCCAACCAACCCTGTATCTAGACGTCTTTCCCTAAGTTGGTTTGGTATCCTAGATTGCTGCGGAACTTCCTCCAGGAGGTATGTCCTGGGAGAGCTTTTAGGACTTGGTGGCTCCGCACACCTTCCTTTTGAAGACTTTGCTGTTCTATGGACACACTGGGAGAACACTTCTACCTCCGGTAAAATCCTGGCAAAGGTTCTAGTAGAGAGTCAGCTTGCTTGAGAGTTGGAAAAATGTTCAGACCCAAACTCAGAAACTTGTGTTCTGTCAGGAAAGGAAAAAAGTGGCAGTTTTTAAGTCTGATTATAATTGACCTCGGCTCGTAAATGGGACCTGGCTTGTCAACTCAGGTCACTATTAGCCTGGAGGGACTATTTATGGTTTATTGCTGGCCTCCATCGCTTCCCACAAAGAGTAGAGAACCTTTAAAGTTTTAGTAAAGGTATTCTCGTTTGTCTTGTAAGGACGGTGATCATAATTGGCACTCCTTCAGCCTTTATGATGGACAAACAATTATGTGTCACTGGTGATTGCCAATAAAAATAACAGTTAATGTAACATTGTTAATTAAGATTAAGCAAATGCAAGTATGTTCTATTCAATTTAAAAAGTAAAATTGTTAAACATATTAAAACATTTTATCTGGTTAACAAGGATGTATAGTTTATTTTTTATTTGCTCTCTTTTTTCCTATTGCATGATAAATAACAAAACAGTTCTCACAATTGTATGTGGTTAATCACAAATACAAACTATGTCTCTTCTCATGAAATGAGAAACTATGTGTGGCCCAGTGGCCACTTGGGAAACTACAGGAGTTTAGATGTGAGTAATACCTTAAAGGTTTCATTATTCAAAATTTAGGGCCTGGATTTAGGAAAAGTATTATCAAGAGGTTTTCAAAGTTTCATTAAATCAGGCTATGAACATAAATCAGATATCTAACGACAAGTACTGGAATATTAGCTATAAAAATAGCATTGAAATAACATATAGAATACTTAGGGATTTTTTTGTTTTGTTTTTAAGAACTGGGAGACTGTTATCAAAATCATTCAAGAAATTAATGGAAAGCAGTGTGCCTGGGTGACTCAGTCAGTTAAGCGTCTGCCTTTGGCTCAGGTCATGATCCCAGGGTCCTGGGATCAAGCCCCACATCGGGGTCCCTGCTCAGCGGGAAGCCTGCTTCTCCCTCTCCCTCTGCCTGCCGCTCCCCCAGCTTGTTCTATCTCTCTCACTGTCAAACAAATAAAAATCTTAAAAAAAGAAAGGAAGTAATGGAAAGCCACAAACACATAACTGACCCTCAGAAGGTGTTGGGGGGATAACCCAGGGAACCGCTCCACAAAAGTAGTAGAAACACAAGTTTTATTACTGAATAAGCATTAAACCGGAACGTGATGCGTATCACAGGCAGTCTGCTACAGGAATAGCAGAGACACAGAAATCTCACTCTGTTGGATAGCTAGATGGACACAACCCATCTAAAATACTGTAGTGTTGCAATTTGGAGCCTTATGTTAGCTGCAGTTGGGCCCAAGTCTTCCCAGGAAAATGGGAGCTCACCATCATTAAGAAAAGACAGCACTGTATTTCAGAGATGCCTCTAGGGTCCTTGAGGAAACATTCCTGAGCCAGGCTACTTGCACATTTAGCATTTGACCTTCCAAGGGTTAAAACGTGGTGAGACAAGATGTTGAAAGTTTTTAAGTTCAGCTTTAAAATGTATACATCTCATCATTGCTTACCCTTTTTATATACGTGTGGGCAATTGCTACTTTAGTCTGTACCTGCATTATAGCCAACCTTCCTACCAACACCCAAGTCTTCCCCTTTGACTTTGGGTTCCCTTCTCTAGTTAAGACCCCCTCTGGGAGAATCCTAAAAACTACGTGGAGCATAGGTCTGGATTTACGGCCTAATCCCGTGTGTTTAATTCCTTTTGCACTCTGTGCCAAGGATCCCTTTTAGCAGCTCTCGTGGGCTAGGGGCTGCCTTTTCTCACAGCAACATTTCTGTAATGCAACCTTGTTTTCCTTATCATTTAGTTGACAGGCCTTTTAACTGCATCCCACCCTCACCAACTGCTCTGTGGCGTATCGGCCTGGTAAGTCTTCCAGGGGCTTCCAGTCTCCACTCCCAGGGAACACCAGGACCGGCGTCCAGGGCGCATCACATGCTTGGTCTCTCAGCACCTGTCACACTGTTGCTCTCCAATTGTCTACTTAACACTCATTTATGTTTCTTGAGCAGAGGACACCTGGCACCAGAATGGAGAGGACTAAATTGTAAGGCCTTGTGTCCACGGAAACGCGCCTTCTCACGAATTCAGCGCGGAGGGACCTGCTGTTCTTGTTTTCAACCCCAAAACCTGCACTCCGTCCATACCGAGAAAGCCGTTCTGCTCAAGTCCTAAACCCGTTTCCTTCCAGCTGGCACGCCAATTAACGTTCCACCGTCTGATAAAGTGCCAGTGTTATTAACTTAATACAACTCTCCAAACCCCTGCGTGAAAACATGGAAAACTACAGGACCCGTCTCTTCTCTAGTTGTACAGAGAAACTTTCTTCTAAGGGAATGGGTGTATCTTTCAAGGCCGCAATCTAACACAAGCTAAAGGGAAACTAGCGTCAGGGCTCCTCGGATGAAAGAGTGGGGGCCCTGAAAAGGGCCTTTAGTTCTCAGTAGGAAACGAGCTGGGAAGCCGGGGGCTCAGCCCCCGAAGCCGTAGAGGGTGCGGCCCTGGCGCTTGAGCGCGTAGACCACGTCCATGGCCGTGACCGTCTTGCGCTTGGCGTGCTCCGTGTAGGTGACGGCGTCCCGGATCACGTTCTCCAGGAACACCTTGAGCACCCCGCGGGTCTCCTCGTAGATGAGGCCGGAGATGCGCTTGACGCCGCCGCGCCGGGCCAGCCGCCGGATGGCGGGCTTGGTGATGCCCTGGATGTTGTCGCGCAGCACCTTGCGGTGGCGCTTGGCGCCGCCCTTGCCCAGGCCCTTCCCGCCCTTGCCGCGGCCAGACATGCCGAGAGTGAAGAGCGCACAGCGTCGCGTCCCCTGCCCCGTGCTGCAGGCTTTATACCGCTGCTGCGGACCGAACTGAGAACCTCAGACAGACGGGAAGTGCCACCCCGTGGGGAGAGGGAAGTGTGACAAGACAAAAAAAAAAAAAAAAAAAAAAGTCCTAGGTTTCCTGTTCGGTGTTTTGTTTGTACCTCGTAACCATTTTGTTACTGTTTGAAAACTTTAAAAATTGCTTTCCAATGCGAACGCCAAGCGCGAAATGTGAGAAATACAGAAAAGGGAAGTAATAAAATAACAACCTTTTATCCCACCACACAGGGAACACTTAGTCCTACTGGCTAGTTTGGGACTTTGGTGAACAGATAGGTGCACATATTTTTTCAAAGAAAATTTACAGTGCCATGTATGACGTTTTGGAACTTCTTTACACTGATTACATTTTAATTTCCCTTTTCTAAAGACAAAAAAAGTTGTTTTTAATATCTATTTGTTATTCCTTCTTAAGAATTCTCTGTAGCACACTCTAACAAATTCCCTGGCAATTCCTTAATAAGCCACATGTTTAAAATAATTCTTTTCCCTATTGATTGATGTACATACTTGGAACGGTAGAGGCCAAGGGCAGGCCACCCTGCGATGGCTCCCTTTGACATGAAGGTTATTAAAATCCAGGAAATTTCGGAAAAGCTTTTTACCTCCTCCACAACTGCCTAAAAGGAAATTAGATAGAGGACCTGCTCCAGGAAGAGAGTTATCACAGTAAAGAACTGTTTTATACTATGAGCTGGGTATAGGTATAGACCATGGGGAGGAGCAAGGCCTGTTTGATCAAAGCCCTTTATGTTTCATTGTTTCTGAGTGGCCCAGCAAACATTTTATTTGCCAGGCATTTACTCTTCCGGTGAATTACATTCCTCCCCTTTGAAGTTCCAGACTCCCATCCCCCTGTCCTTAGTTCAGAAAGACATATATACTTCATTTTACTTGACTGTCTTTGAAACTTCATGTCTGTATGGATTCCCTGTAGGTATACTATTATAGTTTATATTTTCCTATTAATCTGTCTTATATCAACTTGATATTTTCCTGTTAATCTGTCTCATGTCAATTTGGAGGCTAGAAGGGCCTCCAAAAGGACAGCATATTCCTGCTCTCTGAAAAGAACCATTACTAAAAATTCTAATTTGTTCTATAGTTTAATCAATTTCCTTTGCCAAAGGAAATCTATTTTCAGTTGAATTTTGGGAAAATTTACATTAGGGAAAGTGAAAAGAGGGATTATTTATGTGTAATACTCCATCACAAGCATTTTCTATGATACATTTTAAGTAAAATCTCTAGTATTTAGCATAATGTGCTTTCTATTTTTTCTATTTTAAAGGAGATCTGTACATAATTTATTTCTTGAGGATAACCTAGAATTGAAATGCTTTGTCAGAGAGGATGTAGATGTTGTGGTATTTGATTAATATTTCTACATTTTCCACAAAATTCTTACCACATTCAGCAATAACTGTTGTGCATGTAAGTTTATCATACATACTCCAAGAGGCATATTTCGAGATGATATATTCTGCTCCCCTTCCAAATACTGTAACTTGTTTCAGGTTTAAAGGAAAAATGAACCCTCTTGTAATTTTTATCCTAACTGCATCGCACTGATTAACTAACTGGGGCAGAAAAACGCACATCTTTAATAGAATGAGTTCTTCATCTTCGTATATGGTAGGAGCTGGACATTTTTCCCTTATTTCCTTCTAGGTTCTCTGGCTGATCTACTAATTACAATGACATAAAACAGAGTAACAGGAGAAAAACAGATTTAATTTCGAAAGTACAGAAGCCCTGTAAAAAATAAGACTTAAAGGCAGTCAGGCAATTAAGGCTTCTAGGACATCCCCAGCTAAGGAATGGGAGAGGGGCCTGGGGTTATGGAGAGGAGGCCAATCCACAGCAAGAGTTGCATAATCACATGTCCGCCCTGCCAAGCTGAGTCTTTCACATTAAAAAATTATGTCTGATAATAGCGCGCGCGCTCTCTCTCTCTCTCTCTGTGTTATCAACCCCTTACCTAAATTCTTTTTTTTTAATTTTATTTATTTATTTGAGAGAGAGAGAGAGAATGAGAGAGAGCATGAGAGGGAAGAGGGTCAGAGGGAGAAGCAGACACCCCGCTGAGCAGGGAGTCCGATGTGGGACTCGATCCCGGGAATCCAGGATCATGACCCGAGCCGAAGGCAGTCGCTCAACCAACTGAGCCACCCAGGCGCCCTACCTAAATTCTTTAAGGCAGTTAGGGGGAGGGCAAAAGTTTCCCTTGACCCGTGGTATTCTCAGTTGACTTTAGTTCAAAATAGTCCATGTGTCCATGGCATTTGGGGGAGACTTGTTCTGAACCCCTTCACTGTCATAACGTTACGTTAAAGTAGTGTCTGGCTCACGGTAGAGGGGCAATGAGTATTTGTTGAATGAAATGTAAGGGAATGAAAACTTCTCTGTCCTCTTTGGATTTCTGCCTAAGAATTAAACTGACAGGAAAAAAGCATACACGTTTTGTTGAATTTTTACATGTTACATGGCAGCCCTCACACAAGAAGGAAGTCCCGAAGCAACTAGTCAGGGAGATTTCATATTTTTAGAAAAGATAAATTTGTGAAAAATTGACAAGACAACGAGGTTTGGGCTTAGGGTAGTAAGTTGAAGAAATAAGGTTTTTTCTTGTGGCCTTTCAGCCCCAAATTCCTTCTGGTGATAAGAAGGCCTCCTTCCCTCAGGGTACAGGGTGGGTGCCTGTCCCAGGGCAGGTTTATCTCCTGCTTTCAGGGAAGGGTGGAGCAGGGAGGGGGGCGGTCCAAGGGACCTTCCTGCTTCGGCAGTTTTCTCAAACTCTTTTAGGCTTTAGATATTCAATCTATGCCTAGGTGCTTTGGGGCATCGAGTCAGAATGAACGTGGCAGGTCTCCTTTCCTCCCAAGCCCACTTTCTGAAACCCCTTTCTTGAGTAGTGATGTGGCACAAGCTGAAAGCAAGACATTCCAACCTGTCCTCCTTCCCCTTCCCCTGCTGCCAGTCCGCAGCAAGGCCTCACCATTCGGCTTCATTTTCCCCCTTCTCCCTCTCCTCCTCTTCCTGCCTCCTCCTCAGTTCAGAACCCCGCTCCCGGCTGGTATTTCCAAACTTTTCACCTGGATCTCACCCCCCTTTCCATCCGTTCTCAACTGGGCCGCCAGAATAATGATTCTGAATCATACATTTTACAAGATTTTAAAATTCTGCAGATCCTGCCTTCCTCTACTAGATAAATCTTTATATTTCTTCTCAAGGTGTACAAAGCTCCTCAGTATCGTAAGGTTCACTGCCCCACCTTCTACTTATCTTTCCACATTCATCTCTGGCCATCCCAGCCTCCAGCCATGCTAGAGGATTTCTAAGTCCCGGGCACTCCCTCGACCTAGAGCACCCCTCCCCTCCAGGCTATACCATCCGCCCCGTTCAGCCGACTCCATTTTGCTAGCTTCCCAGTTTCGTTTTAGAGTCCATATTTTCTTAACCGTTTCTTTGGAAGAAGCTGGGACTTTCCCCCATTGCAGGTACATTTCTTAGTACCTATGAGGCACCCGAGAGCAGTGTGCGGGATAAATGTCAGAGTGAAGAATGATGGCTGCTTTGAGTAAGCAAATCTCAAAGTTAGCCTTAAGAGGTAACCTGGCCACACATGTTTTGTTCTTGTGATGCACTCTGCAAGTCCTTACTCTTGAGCAAAGGTGCTAACGGTAGATCTTCCTGAATTTACTGCAGCTGGTCCAACACAGCACCCAAACCAGGCATGCCTTTAATATGGCTTCCCGTCATCAGAGGCCGCAGACTTCCCTGCCAACAGAAATGAGAAGACACGCTGCATTATTGGGAATATTATTTTAGAGAATTGAAGAGGTAGAGAAGAAACATTCCCAGCTCTTCACTCGGCTCCACGAGAAAGAACTCAGGTTTATTTTGCAAACCATACTGGTTACACTGCTAATGCTTGGAATTTTAATGGGAGATGGTGGACCAAGGGACCATGGTGTGGATACCTGCGGGGGTGACCTGAGGGAGTTAACTGGTTGAGAAAGTGGAACACGATCTACATTATTCTGCCTGGTGACACCCAGTCACCAAGCTTCCAGTCAGCACTACTGTCCTGACACATTACCTCTTAAATATAGCTTTAAAAGATGAAGGAGGCGGCTGTGTGGCCCTGCTAGATGTAGTAGAGGATGAATTCTAGTCTCATCCACTGAGACTGACCGCTCCAAGATCCTGCTTAATCCTTTAACTCTAGCGGCAATTTAGTGAGGATTACCCAAATAAAAGCTTAAGAAGCCACAATTATTAGGACAGGTTCTCCACAGGACTTCCAAATACTTCTACAGCCTAACCGAAGACGCGAGGTGTTCTTTGCATCGTGCCTTACGAGACAAAATATTCGATACTAAAAAGCAACTGCAAAGCAAACGCTGAGAGAGGTACGAGGCAAATCCCAAAAGCAATTACCTAGGACGCTAAATTTTCTAACACTACTTATACAGGAAGAACTATTGTTCACTTCTTTTTACCAAAGGTAAACAGCGAACAAGCTCTTTCTTAGAAATGGTGGATGGCTCTGAAAAGAGCCTTTGGGTTGCGGTCAGCG